TTATCACAACTGCTATTTTCCACTACTAGACTGGTGTTCCATTGCCCTCACTTCTTTGTATCAGTATCTCCTGTTTCAAAGCTTTGGATGGGTATGTCTGATTGACTGACTATTGATCATGAGGTCATACTCTAGCTTCAGGGGAAGTCAGGAAACAAAATAAATATTTTTAGCCTCTATCATGGAAAGTGAGCTCTTTCTCCCTCCAAGATTCTTTAAGCATACATGTCACCAAACATAAAAAGAAGGTTAAAATAATTTTTTTTAAAAAATTAAAAGTCCCTCAGCATGACAAAAAAAAAATCACCAAATTCCAGTATTAATTCCAATTTAGTTTTGTATGTTCTTTCTTTGCAACAAGAAACATATTTAATTTACAACTATAACTCAATTGTCATTCAACTAATAATTATCTTTCTCTACAGCATTCTGAAGGGTCTAAGCTCATCATGTAAGTTTCATTTATCTTCTAAGAAATTCCTTTTTTGAAGTTATGCTCTAATATTTCTTTCAAATGAGTGACTTTCATCAGAGCCTGGCAGCATAAACTGGTGCTTTAAAAAATACTTTAAAAGCATGAAAAATATATTTGGCATCTTTCCACATCTTGGGATTTTAAGATATGTCAGATATGGACAATCACTATTAGGAGATCCAAGATAGCGGAATAGATAAACTCTGTGTTTGCCTCATCCCATGAACACATCAAAATTACAACTACATTATAGAACAATCAGCCTGGAGAACCAAGTCTAGATGAACAGAAGTTTTATAACTAAGGATATAAAGAAGCCACGCTGAAACTGGTAGGAGGGGCGGAGATGCGAAACCAGCTGGTCCCACTCCCACATGTGGCAGTTGAAAACTGGGAGAAATATCTCGGTCACAGAGGTTCCCCGCGAAGCAGCAAGGGGCCCCAGCCCCCCATACCAGGATCTCCAGCCCAGAGTACTGGTGCTGGGGAGAGAAGCCCCCACAACTTCTGGCTGTGAAAAACAGTGGGGATTCCAACTGTATGGGTGGGAGAGAAGACTGTGGGAAACAGACATTTCTGTAAAGGGCCCACACAGACACTCACCCTGGGCTCCAGCAGATGGACAGTGACTCTGGGGGCAGCAGAGACATATGGGAAAGACTGAGTTGTGTTACGTCGGGGGAGGACTAGAGGGACAGTTCCTATTTTTCCTGTGTGGGGACCTTCTCCTGGGCAGCTGTCAAGCAGTTGCCATCTTTCTTATGCTGAGCCCGCCCCCACAGGCCACATCTAAATCTGATTGACCTGATGAGCATTGCTGCTCCACCCTGCTGACTCAATGAGACCCTGCCTCACCCAATTTGCCTACTGCAGGAAGCTTTATCATCAGCTGAAACTTATGGGAGCCAGCAGGTGGTAGCAGGCCTCAGAGTATCCTAGCTTTCTGTGGAGCTACCCCAGACCTGGTACTCGTAGCATCCATCCTTGGTTCACAGCGTGGCCTCTCCCACGTGCCTCCAGGTACAGCGCAGGCACCAACCAAATACAAATCACTTTGTAGCTCCTAACAGGTACTCCCCAGACAGCCACAGGCAGGGGCTGACCTGGGCCTGCACAGGATCCCCTCCCAAGAGGCACCAGAACCAACATACTTGGAGATGGGCTTCAAACCACAGCGCAGCACCACCCAATTATCCCCAAAAGTGGCACGCACAAAGGGCAGTTTCAACAGGCACCAGAGCCTGCTGGGGTGAAACCCACTCTTTGGAGTAAGACAATAAGCTGTGGACATGGCCAAATACCACAGCCAGTCAGCCTGAGGGTCAGTACCAACCACTGACATGCCAACAATCAAGGCTCAACTATAACAGGGGGGCACACAGTACCCACACAAGGGACACTACTGAAGCACCTGGTTCAGGTGACCAGGGAGACTTTGCCACTGGGCCCCATAGGACCCCTTCTACTTAAGGCCACCAGACAAGACTGGGAGACATAGCAACCTACCAAACACATAGGAAACAAACACAGAGAGGCAGACAAAATAAGGAAACAAAAAAATATGCCCCAAATGAAAGAACAGGAGAAAACTCCAGAAAAAGGACTAAACAAAATGGAAGCAAGCAACCTATCAAATATAGAGTTCAAAACAATGGTTACAAGGAAGCTCAAGGAACTTAGTGAGAACTTCAACAAAGAGATTGCAAGCATAAAAAATGACATATGGCCGGCCGAGTGGCTCAGTTGTTTAAGACCTCGCTCAAGAGTGCAAGCTCTGAGCAACAAGGTTGCTGGTTTGATTCACGGCCCGAGCTGAGCTGCCAACAGGTGGCAGGATGGCAGCTTAAAAAAAGAAAAAAGAATAGTAATTTAAAAAATGACATAGAAACCATAAAATAAGAACCAGTCAGAAGTGAAGAATACAATAACTGAAATGAAGAATACACTAGAAAGAATCACTAGACTAGATAATGCAGTGATTCAGCTGGATTGAATCAGTGATGTGGAAGACAGGATAACAGAAAACACCCAATTTGAACAGCAAAAAGAAAAAAGAATCCAAAAAAATAAGGATAACTTAAGAGACCCCTGGGACAACACCAAGCATAACAACATTTGCATCATAGGGGTACCAGGAGAAGAAAAAACGTATTGGATTAAGAATCTATTTGAAGAAATAATGACTGAAAACTTTCCTAACCTGATGAAGGAAATAGACATACAAGCCCAGAGAATCCCAAAAAAGATTCACTCAAAGAGGCACAACAAGACACATCATAATTAAAATGGCAAAGGTTAAAGGCAAAGGGAGAATACTAAAAGCAGCAAGAGAGAAGCAGTTAGTTACCTACAAGGGAGCCTTCATAAGACTGTCAGCTGATTTCTCAACAGAAATTTTGCAGGCCAGAAGGGATAGGCACAAAATATTCAACGTAATGAAAAACAAGGACCTAAGACCAATGGTACTCTTCCCAGCAAAGACTATCATTTAAAATCAAAGGACTGGGGCTGGCCAAGTGGTGCGATGGTTAAGAACTCGCTTGGGATGCCAGAGGGCCCCGGTTCGGATCCCACTTATGAGGGCCAGTGACACTGCCCTCCACAGCTAAGATGCTGAACAACAGCTCAACCTGGAGCTGGGCTGCCGGGAGTTGCCGGCAACGGCGTAGGCTGCAGTCCCTGTGGCAGTGGGTTGCCATGGGCTACTGTGTGTAGCCAGCAGCTAGCGTGAGCGGCCAGCAGCCGCAGTGAGCGGCCGTCCAGAAGCCGGCGACTGATCTGCCTCGCCCGGGAAGAGCGCAATGATGGTGCCAACTTGGGCCAGTGAAGCAATGTCCTCCACAACTAGACTGAAGAACAAAAAACAACAGCAACTTGTCTGTTCCCCTTCCCCCAATTCCACAGCACTGTTCCCATCCCCCCAATTCCCCAATAAAAAATAAATAAATAAATAAAATTAAAAAATTTAAAAAAAATAAAATCAAAGGACTGATAAAAAGCTAAAGGACAGATAAGAAAAAGCTAAAGGAGTTCAATCACCACCAAACCAGTATTACAAGGAATCTTAGAAGGACTTCTTTAAGATGGAAAAAAAAATCAAAAATATGAATAATAAAATGGCTATAACTATATACCATATCTATCAACAATTACTTTCAATGTAAGTGGATTAAATGTTCCAACCAAAAACATAGGTTTGCTGAATGGATAAGAAAACAAGACCCTTACATATGCTGCCTACAAGAGACTCACTTCAGATTGAAAGACACACACAGATGGAAAGTAAAGGGATGGAAAAAGTTATTTCATGAAAATGAAAACAAGAAAAACTAGAGTAGCAATACTTATACCAGACAAAATAGACTTTAAAACAAAGGCTATAACAAGAGACAAAGAGGACCCAGTAATCCCACTTGTGGGTATTTATCTGAAAAATCCCAAACTACTTTGAGGGGAGATGTGCATCCATATGTTCATTACAGTATTGTTTACAATAGCCAAGGTGTGGAGGCAGCCCGGGGGTATCTGTCAATGGAAAAATGGATAAAGAGGAGGTGGTACATATACTCAGCCATGGCAGGAAATGGGTTCTTGCCATCTGAGGTGGCATGAGGGACCTGGAGGGTGTTGTGTTGAGTGGAGTATGTGAGACAGATGCACGTAACTTCACTTATATGTGAAATCTAAAGAACAAAATAAACAAAACAGAAACAGGCTTATAGATACAGAGAACATTTTGATGGTTGCCAGATGGAAGAGGTGTTGAGGGGGTGGATAAAAAAAGGGAAAGGATTAAGAAGTACAAATTGGTTGTTACAAAGTAGTCATGGGGATGTAGGGTACAGCATAAGGATTATAGTTAATAATACTGTAATAACTATTTATGGTGTCAGATGGGTACTAGATTTCTTAGGGTGATAGATGGGAGGGGGTTGGGGCAGGGTGTAAAAGGTGAAGGGATTAACAACAAATCGTTAAGATTCAAAATAATCATGGGGACGTAAATAAAGCAAAGGAAATATAGTCAATAATATGGTAATAACTATGTATAGTGCCAGGTAAACTAGTCAGGAGAATTACTTCTTAAATTATATAAATGTCTAACCATATGCTGTATATCTAAAATATAAAAAAATATTGAATGCCAAGTGTAACTGGAAAATTGAAAAAGGTGGGGGGAAAGGTGAAGGGCAATAAAAGGTCCAAATTTCCAGGTGTAAAACAAATAAGTCGTGGGGATATAATGTACAACATGGGGAATATAGTCAATAATATTATGATAGCGTGCTATGCTGTCAGATGGTTTCTGGGCTTATTATGGTGATCACTTCTTTAGATATATAAATGTTGCATAACTTGTATACAACTAAAACTAATATAATATTATATGCTCACTATATTTTTAATGAAAATCTTTTTATAAAAGATATAACGAATATGTACTGCTATTTTACTTTAGAAATCCAAATATTTCTTTTATAAACAACAATGTGTTTCTGAATCTGAATAATCCTTTCCTCGGCAGTATTTTTGAACAGTGGCTCCGAAGGCACCGACCTCTTCAAGAAGTTTATCCAGAAGCCAATGCACCCATTGGCCATAACCGGGAGTCCTACATGGTTCCTTTCATACCTCTCTACAGAAATGGTGATTTCTTTATTTCTTCCAGAGACCTGGGCTATGACTACAGTTACCTACAAGATTCAGGTAAAGTTCAATTTATTTTATATGAATTTCTGAATAAAGTGTGTGACCAATTTCTTTTGAGAGAATACAGAACCTTATGTTTTTATAACACTATCACCAAATCCTTTAAATTGGGAAAGTACATTGCAATTTACTAATCACTAATTTACTACATGAACCAAGTTGCAAGAATCTTTAAATTTATATTCATTCTGCTTAATATACATCTTGCACATGAAAACCACGGAAAAAGCACTAGAATTAAAATCGGGAGAAAACAAGGGGGGTTTCAGACATGAGTCTATCTGCTGTCTATTGTGTGACCTTGGGAAACTTTACTTCAATTCCCTGAATCTCAGTTTCTTAACCTGAAATTTGGGATCAGAACACCTCAGAGATGTTATGAAAATTAAATTAATGTGATGTGTTAAAAAGCCTAGGGCAGTGTGGCACAGATAAACATCCAGCAGTCTGGGAGTCATCTTTGGGAAATTCCTGCTGGATTACCAAGAAAAATTGTGGACATTTTAACTTTAAGCCCCAATAATAATAATAATAATAATAATAATAATAATAATAATAACAGCTATGACTATGATTAAGGTAGTGGTATTAAAATCTAGAATTGTAACTAGATCTTGGTTTTAAATAATCTTACTGAGTAGAAAGAACTATGTCAATAACTTCTTACTAAATGAGGAACAGTAATGTCTCCCCTAAACCAATATGTGGGGGAGTCAGATTTCGACACTAAGAAGTCCTCTTCACTGCACTACACTATGCTTTCCACTAACACAAAGAGGGGCAGCAACCAAATGTAGTAAAACAATATATGGCTTGTGGGTAAGAGGTATTCAGCAAGCATTGATGCTTCATTATACTCATTGATAATTCATGAAAACATAAACAGATAAATAAAACAAAATGAACAAATGAATGGCATTTACCAACTTGCTACCTCTTGTGGCAGACCTCACAGAGCTATAAATTCAATGTGGAAGTCAGGCAATTGTGCAAGAAAGAATGAAACAGAAGGCTGTGTTAAGTGTAGTTAAGCAAGTCTCAAATTTCACAGAGGAGAAAACGATGATTTCTGAATAGTTCATTCTGGATAGACAAGACAAGGTTTTGAAGGATGAGCAGCAAGGCAGAAGACAGATGAGGGCAGGGAATGTTAATCTAAACTAAAAGAATAACAAGTGAAATAGAGTTTTAAAGTGTAGAGTGTATTTATTGAATTTAAATTCTCCTATTTGAGTAGTATGAGCAATGGAAAATTACACTGAAGAGATAAATTTAGTCATTTCATAATAGCTAACACATATTGAGTATTTTTTATGCGCCAGGAACTCTTCTAGGTGTGCTGTTTGCATTATGCCCTTTAATCTTCATAACTACCATATGAAGTAGGTTCTATTAATTTTTTCCTTTTCATAGATGAGAAAGCAGAGGCTTAAAGAATACAAGTAACTTGTCCGAGGCCATCCAGCTAATACATGGCATAGGAAAACCATGATTTAGGGTAAATGAGAGAACCTGTATTTTATCCACCTTTTCCTGCCCTTTGGGGGTCCACTAATTGAACAGATATAGTTGACCTATTCTGCTTTATCTGAAGATCATAGCCAATGGAAGGAATACTAAAATGGCCGGCAGAGGAGATTAATTCTTTGAAAATATTAAGATTCCTGAGATCCGGGAATTTTGCAAAGGGTAGGTACATGATAAGGGGAGTGGCTTACTGTGCGTCAAAGAGAGACAGTCTCAAGTAACATATTTTCCCTTCTTTGTGAAAATATCCACAGGACATAAAGAAAGCATCATACTGATAACGGTTTTTCAAGTTCATCACTTAGGGTTTTATGATTTCCAGACTATGCCAGGCTTTTCCATTGGCTCATGCTTTTGGATATGCTGTTCTCTGGCTAAATTCTGATCTTATTTATTCATTTGTCAAACTCTCAGATATCAAATCATTTTATACACATACACAGTCATGTTTAATCACTCCTTTAATAGAGTTACATGGTAATTTTTCTAAGGATAAATCTTACCCCTCACCATCTTGGCTGTGAGCCCTACAAGATCAGCGTTGATATCTGGCAAGCTTTTCTAGTCAACTGGTATCTGGTATGGGGTGAAATCAGAGAATCAGTTTTAGGGCAAGTGATATTTATCATGAAGGGTGATATCACTTAACCAATATAAGTAAAGCTAATTAGAAAAATGTCAACCTTCTTAATATCCCAGGTCATTTGTAGATATGGATCTGTAACACATTTCAAGTCTTCTATCACCCTAGGTGTTTTCTTGGTGGTTTTATTGATTTATTTGTTCTTTCTACATATATATGTTTCACACTTACTTTGAAAAGGCATTGTCTTAGATACTACGGATATAGTGTCAAACAAAGCCTGTCTTCACAGAGCTTACATCCTAATGAAAGAGAAAAAACTTAACTATAATACTTACCTAACAATTCATTTATTTAGAGATGTGCCTATCTCTATGGATGAATGAAGTGGTATTTCAGAGGGTATCAGTATGATTGGAAGAATTCATTAGTTGATAAAGGGCTTTTGATTATGGATGCTGGCCATATTGTTAGAAAAATGGAAGCCATTAAAGAATTTTAAACAGGCCATGGTCAAATTTGAGTTTTCAAAAGATTATGTTGCTGCAACATGTAGAAAGTTTTGAGCAGTTACCAAACATATTTAGGGAGGCCAGTGAAAACACTATTATAAGTGTCCAGGGGAGAGATGAAGGCAGTTTGGGTTGCAGTGATGGTGACAGGAAGGGAGGCAGAAAGCACAAAAGAATTTGATATTATTTTGAAGAGAAAACTTCTCAAACTTGGAAAAAGATTTTTATATTAGGTGAGAAAGAAGGAGATATGAGAGATACCTTTAAGCTTTCTGGCCTGTGAAAATAATGAATGGTGATGCATTTCAGAGACAGTAACAATAGGAGCAGTGCCAGTCACAGAAGGAATCATCCTGGTTGTATCTGTTACACAGGGAAAGGGGTGATATGAGACATTAGGGTAAATATGTCTCTGGGGCAGCTGAATAGCCTTGAAACTCAGAAGAGATTCTGGCCAGCAGGCACTAATATGAGAGACATCAGATATAAATTGTTATTTTTTCACAATCCTACGTAGTAGTGATATCTACTCTGTTTTATAGATAACTAAATTGAGAACAGAAAGATGGTGACTAATTCTAAGTCACGAAGCTAGTAAGTAGCAAATATTGAATCACAAACTTATTATCTATTACTCCACAGAAGAGGGGGTTCTCTTTATTTCCCATGTGTCTCATATACATATTTCCACATGATTGTTCCTTCCCTAGTGTCCAAAGGGTAATTTTTACTGAAAGAGAACAAAAACCATTGGAGGAGTAAAGATAGAGGGTATTAAAAGAGTCACAGTAGGGTATTTATTACTTAAATATACTTAAAGGTATTTATTACTTATTTCTAGTTAAATCTTTAAAAATAAAGAAAATTATATTTATATGTGACCTCCGTATACTGCACATTTTATTAGACATTTTAGATGTACTCTATATCAAAGTCACTAATAGTGATACAAGCTAGGCTTCTGTAGTCACATTTTCAAAATAATTCTAAAATATATTAAAAACAATATCTTTTATGTTTGATGGAACAAAAATTTCACATTTTTAATTTACTTTGTGTATTTTAGCTTTATTAGTTTCCATTGCTTAGATTTAAATTACTATAATTCCAAGTTATACATTGTTTGTATTATAATTTATTTGATGATGTTTATCGTTTGCAAGTTATTGTCCCTGCCTGATGCAAAGAAACATTAAATTGCAGTACTCTTCAAATTATGCTTAATAAATTCTAAGGTGTTTAGAGGTACCTTAGTGACAGCTGACCAAAGGACAGTGCCAAGGAAGGAAGAAGACAGCAGGAGAAATGGACAGGGTTCTAGCCCTGTAGCCCCACTTAAGCCTTAGAAGCCCCACTTCATCTTCTTTGAATGAATATGGGGCTTTAATATAAAATTAGTTTTTAACAAATTCTCTGGATTGAATAAAAGAACATCCATGCTTTAATCATTCTGATCATTGTTGAGTTTATGGGGTCAAGTGAGACTCTCATTTTAAATTTTACTTCATGTTTCTACCTATTTTTTTCCAAGATATTTTATTAAATAAATATTCCTTTTTCTCCTTAGTTTATGGATCTCATTTTTACTATATATGAAGTTTACATATAATTGTAATTCCAGAATATCCTGATACTTTATCTTTTATTGTAGTAGACATATAATTCACTTTTTAAAATAATTAGGACTTTTTGAAGTACAAATAGCAGAAACTCCATGGGAATGAGATTAGATAAAAGGAGGATTTATTGGTTTACAAAATTCAAGGAACAGGATGACTCAAGCTGTGGGAAAAGCAGAAATGCAACTGAGATTGAGGGACAGCGGGGACTAAGTGCCCTAAGGACTGATATTCATTCATTCTCTCTCTCTCTCTCTCTCTCTCTCTCTCTCTCTCTCTCTCTCTCTCCCCCCCTCATTCTCTCTTTTTTCATTATTAGTTTTTATTTTTCTTTCTTTTTTTTAATTACAGTTTATTGGGGTTAAAATGGTTAGTAAAGTTACATAGGTTTCAGGTGTACAATTCTGTAATACATCATCTATATATGACATTGTGTGTTCACCACCCAGAGCCAGTTCTTCCATCACCATGTATTTGATCCCATTTACCCTCATCTCCCACCCCCTCCCCCCTTACCCTCTGGTAACCACGAAACTATTGTCTGTGCCTATGAGTTTTTGTTTCTTCATTTGTTTGTCTTGTTCCTTTGTTGCTTTCAGTTTTATATCCCACATATCAGTGAAATCATTTGGTTCTCAACTTCAATTATAGCTGACATTCAATATTATTTTATACTAGCATCAGGTGTACAACATAGTGGTTAGACATTTATATAATTTAAGAAGTGATCCCCCCTGACTAGTCTAGTACCCATTTGGCACTATACATAGTTATTATCATTTTATTGACTATATTCCCTATGCTGTACTTTACATCCTCATGACTATTTTATAACTACCAATTTGTACTTCTTAATCCCTTCAACTTTTTCACTCCGCCCCCCCAACCCCCCTCCCATCTGGTAACCATCACTTTTTTCTCTATGTGTATGAGTCTGTTTTTGTTTTGTTTGTGTGTTTGTTTTGTTCTTTATATTCCACATATAAGTGAAATCATATAGTATTTGTCTCTCTATGTATGACTTATTTCACTTAGTATAAGACCCTTTAAGTCCATCCATGGTGTTTGTTTGTGTTTTTTTTGGTTGAGTAATATTCCATTGTATTCATTCTCTGGCTCTTGTCTGTACTTTTTGGAGTGTGTTGACTTCATCCTGTCTTCTACATGTTGAGAAGTAAGGCTATCATCAGCTCCAGAGCTACCCAACTCTCATTTCGAACACAGTGAATTCTGAATAATGATTCTAGGAAAGGAAAGGGATCATAAAGGAAGATTACAGTTCCATCAACAAGGATGGAAAAGTAGGTATGGGGAGCAGATCTGGGTTCAAATATCCAAGGCTTAAGTAAATTATTATTCAAATAACAATTTTGGTATGTTGTTAAATATCAGCTTCATAATTTCAAGGACCAAAGCTGTTCCTTTCCTACAGTTGCATAAGGTTTAACTTAACCTGGACCACATGGTCCATGATGGCTCAGCACAACATTAACCACACTCCATCTAAGGAAAAAGCAAAAGGCACACCTTTTTATTTTTAAGGGAACTGCCCAAAAGTTGAATATTTTACTTTGCTTAAGACTTAAGTCATATAACCATAATTTTCTGTAATGTTAAGCCCTATATGCACTCTTGTTTCCATTATATTACAAAATGGATATAGAATACCTTAGAGTATCTTATAAATGGTGGTGGGTGCTTTAAAATCAAGCAAAAGGATACAATAAAATTATTAAGCTCAAGGGAAAAAAATGTAAGAAAGGAAATGTAATCATAGCATAACAATTGGTTCAACTGTCAATAATATCTAAATACTAAAAATAATGAAAATCCTAGCTGTGGATTTGACCCAAAATCATATTATTCTGAAAACAATGAAGAAAGAAAAGGGGAGTTGTAAGAGAGCTAAAATCATCATGTGTACTTGGAGAAACTTCCGAAATAAACTTGATAAATTAAGAGATAGTCATATTTGGTTGTTATTTAGAAATATGGAGGCAAATACCAGAATAAATAGCTTAAAAAGTCATAGTAGCTGACATGGGGGCAGACACTGTATAACTTACAGATCAGACATTATCTACAAACTTTAAAACATCCCAACAAGGTGGTATTGTTTTCCTATTTTCCCAATGAAGAAACTGAGGCTTAGAAATATTAGGTGCAACTTTTCCAAGCTCTTGCAGCCTGGTTAGTAGCAGAGCTGGCATTCAAACCCACGTGTGTGACTCCAACGTCCTACGCAAGGGTACTGATGATGATAAAGATGAGGACAACAACAACAATAGTAAAAACATTGGGGTGTCTTTCTGTTTCAGAGCCAGACTTTTTCCAAGACTACATTAAGCCCTACTTAGAACAAGCAAGTCGGATCTGGCCATGGCTCATTGGGGCAGCTCTGGTGGGGTCTGTCCTCACTGCTGTGCTAGGAGGCATTACGAGCCTGTTCTGTCGTCGTCGCAAGAGAAGAAAGCAGCTCCCTGAAGAAGAGCAGCCACTGCTCATGGAAAAGGAGGATTACCAAAGCTTGTTGTATCAGAGCCATTTATAAAAGGCTTTAGGCAACAGGGTAGGGCGAAAAGCCTGCCCTCCCTGTAACTCAAGTGATGTTTGAGTCTCCAGGGCATGTTCCAACAAAAATCCCTGGTAAGTGTCTGTGAAGACCGTTATCAGAATTGTAATCTAATACAAAGTACACCTCCNCCACCCACCCCCACCCCCAACTCAGGTAGACCGCACCTGTGCTTGCCTTGCTGTGTTTTGATCACTTTTTTGACAGTTTTCCTCAAGCCCATTTCCCAGGAAATTATGCCATTTGGTAACGAGTAATTGCTCCTTGTATCTGAATAAAAGTGCTCTTATAAAATGTGGCAATGTTTGACTTTTTCCTTCTGATCGTTTAATGACGTGTTTCTTTTTCATTATCCCCTTCCTTTGATTTTAATAAAATAGTAACAAATTTATACTAACTGACTCCTTTGAGTTTGATAGATCCATTTTTATTTTCCTTAGAAAGCATAATGTTTCCCTTCTATTTTACATTCCTGCTCCAAAATGTGTTATGGACATCAAATATAAAACAACCTTCAGTTCTTGATTATGCTTTTGAAGGTCACGGAACACAAGCGCCCTGCCCCTTACAACAAATCTGGCTAAGTGCCTGTCTTAAGATGTGTTCCTTAAACATGTTGACAATGACAATAATAATCCTATTAAGAGCTTTTTTATCTTCTAAGAAGAATTTTATTGTATTAGAGAATGTTTAAAATGCTACAAAACATTTGAAGGTTGAGAACAATTATGTGAATATCAGCTTGTCTGCAGTTCTAGTAAAATAACATTTCTATTTTTCTTGGCTAGTAAGACCTTAAATTAGGATGTCAAGCTAATCCTGCTCCTTGAACTTTTTGGGTCCAATTAAATTTCTAAAAATAGTCCAACGATGTAGTTATAATACATTGGTATTATAACTACACATAGCATAAAAGACCAGGACCAGTGAGTGGAAGTTAAAGGGGTCCAATAAAAGGAAAAACTAGCCAGTAGTCTGAGCTTTCCAAAGCCAAAATCGACATCCTTAGACAATAATAAGTGGTTACCACTGCAATTCTTCACACACAGGTTGGATGGTTAATTCAACCTGAATTCTACAAAGAGAATTTAAGTATGGAGTCTATAGTAGTATTTATTTAAATTGGCTCAGGACTAATAACTCCCCGTTCAGGAGCAAGGCCAAGCATACTCTGTAAAAAAAATCCCTGTCATTCTGCCACAGCATTCAGCTTCACCAGATTTCAGCTTCCACCCTCTCGCCCAAACTCATTTGCTGTCTTGGCTTCCTCAGTCTCTTCAGCTCCCTTATGCCTATTTTCTATGTGTCTGCTTAGCTTTCTCAAATACGTACTTCAGTTTGACTACTTGAGTTATATTTTCGGCATCATTTCTGAACACTGTCTTTTCACTCTTGATGCCATGCTTGAAAAACAGACAACCCAGGATCCCGGAAACCTGCCTGGGTCGGGTGCCTGAACCTCTCTATCTCTGCGAGGGAATTTAGGAGGCGGCCCACTGGCCTGGATAATACCTTTCAACTAAAATATTCTGCAGTCCCTGTAAGGTCTGAAGCATAGTGTTCTGATTGTTTATAAGTGCATTTAAAAATTGAGCCCTTCACAGCGCCTTTATCCAGAAAAGGCTGACCTAAAGTCAAGATTACATCATTTTAAATGGCCCCATTTCATCTAGTTCCAGTTTGGATTCCAAAGAAAAGCAAAAATCATCCTATTATACACCTTGGCCCTATGATTTTGACGATTTTCATCTATTGGGTCATCAGGAGAGTCGGGACAAATTTTTGCATTGAAAAACATAGAAAAATACGTCATGACTCTCCCGACGACCCAATAGAATAAATAGAAATTTACAATTATTGCTGAAGCAATGTCGCTCACTCTAAGAAATTACTATCAGCTAACAAACTCAGTTATAGACCAATATTCCTTTTCTCGCTCTCACTCGTTGTCAGGTTTATCATTTGCCAGCTTGTCTAATTCCTGATGCCCAGTGGAGGAAAGTCAGGGCAAGGGATGAGAAGCAACATACTTACTGACACAGTGGGAGGCTGTGGGGCTAGAGGACAAATCCTGGGGGTTACGGCCTCAACTTGGTGCATAACCAGAAAAAGAAGAAAAGGGTTTAAAGCAAATTAGCAATAGCATCTAAGCTGTGGATTCGGTTTAGTTGGAAATTGGAAGTAAAACAGAGAACAAGGAGTGGGAAAAGGAAGCCAGGTAACCGGTCTGCGGAAGGTTCTGGGGAAATAGTAACAGTGATTGTGGTTGCCTAGACTCTGATCCCAAAACACAAAACAATGACTGGCGTGCCGGGGCTCAGCTCGCGGCAGATGAGCGCAGGGTTCGGTGAGGCCGAAAAGGGAACAACGGAACCACAGATAGGGGGCTCATATCACTATAGACTCCACGAAGGCTGGTCAAGACACAAGAAGCAAACGTCCGTCAACACCCCAATAAGGGGTCTTCCTGCATGCACCACACAGTCTCACCGGCAGCACGGTGAGACACAGGAAGTAGAATCCGCAGGATCTGCACCATCTAAGCCACCCGCACTTGCCAACGCAGCCGCAGCAATTATATGCAAAACAATAGTAGCTAAAGGCCAACTGGTTACAGCTGATGGCCATCTAATAGCCGAGCCAGCACCTTTCCACGTGAGGCCGGGAGCCTGGAAACTGCTCTCCTGGCCCTTTCCCGAGAATGACTTATGTAGGTTTGATCTGAAGGCAAAATTTTGGCCCAGGTGGTATATTTAATCATTTTTTTTTACAAAGCATCTTGAATAAAAGTCCATCCAAGGAAATTTCATTGTCATTGACAGGGATCTGTAGAAAGCCATTCTTTTCTTTATCACAAGCCAATTACCTCCTTTATCACTGCACTTCAAGAAACAATTGCTGTCTCTGGAGGCTCAAGGTAAACAAACTACTTGTGTAGCAGCAGCACTTGTGATAAAACTACCACCACATTGATTCCATGGTTCTCTCAATAAGGTACCAAAATTACATGAACTGATATTTCAAGACACCTTGCAGTTTTATTAAATTCTCATCAGCATTGCATTCTGTGGCATAGTTTTATATAGTTTTATAAATCGATCCATTTTCGGCTATTTTTCAGTGCCACATTATAAGTCTGAATTTGTTACAGAGAAAGAAATAAGCAGCTGCCACTTTTTTGTTCCTCTGTGTTTTATTTTTTTTTAAGTATTTTTAGTACCCAAAGTTTCTAACAAGTAAAATATATGATTCTCCATCTGTAGAAATAAATATGTGATGGGTACAAGTCATTTCAGCCAGTGTATCTAGCAGGGTGACAACTCGCATTGATTGTGAATGTTTTAAAATAGCCTTTCCCTTGTTTATATGGGCTTTGATTTGTAAGAGCAGTTTTCTTTGTCACCATAAAAAGGGCCTCATTGGGGCCACCTACTGGGAGCCTGTGCTATTTTGGAGGGCATGCTAGTTTTAGAATAAAGTTCTTCTCCCCTTCTGATTAGACTCCACTGAACGCTGCTGAAATGCAAGTAAAAAGAGTTGTTTTTCTACAACTTTGTGTAGCTTATTTTCAAAAGCATTTGTTAGTTTGTACAATATAATGAAGGTAAAATTCCCTATGACAACCACTGGAGGCCTTAAGGACTTTCAAATCATTCAGCTATTTAAAACTTATATCAGAATAGCTTATCTTCTTTTAAATAGAAGCCTTATTAAAACTCTATATAGCCCATGTCTAATTGTTTTATGAGTTCTTTTCCTAATAGTAAGGTAAGAAATTATTCTTGTAAATTCATGTTAATCTACCAATTCTTATATGTTTCACAATCATAATCATAGTTTCTAATTTCTTCTTTAAAAATAAATAACAAAGATGTAACAATTTAGTGAGTAGTTACGGTTTTCCAAGAACTATGCTAAGCACTTCATATATATAAACTTATTTCATCTTCATGTTATCAGTATGAGAATAAGTATTATTTGTGTATTCATGTATTCAAATGAGACTGATTTTCATAGGAGATATAACTTGCCCAGATTTACATGTCTGTTCATTAGTTTAGGTAATTCAGCTGGGATTTGAATCCAGTTTCTCCTAAATGATTCATAATTATAAATTTCACTGTTGTTTATTACTTAATTTTATTGATGCATCATAACTAACCAGTTCCTTGCTACTAGACATTTAGGTTTTATCTAGCTTTTAAATTATCTTTAGTGCTATAAGGAATATCTTGGTACATCTGGCATCTGATTTCTCTTAAATTATTTTCTGGTAGTATGATTGCTGGGTCAAAGTATATGAATAATTTTATGGCTAGTTTCTAATGAACTGCCACAGTGCTTTTGAAAAGGGCTGCATGGATTTTAAAATGCAAAGAGAAAGAGTTTAAAAATAAGAGATCAAAAGGGATAAAAAAGAAAATGAAAAAATTAAGAAGTTAGAATGAAAAAGAGTTGCAATTCTCTTTGAGAGGAGCCGAAGACCCTCACTGGCACTTGAGGTAATGCTTCCTTTCATAAATATGTCTTTTTCAAATTATTACATTTAATGGGCATTTTTTCTCACTAAAATTTGTAGAAAACTCAGACTGAAGCCATCTTAGAAAGATAGGAAATAGCATGCATGTAAATTGGTCCCAAAATAAGATATTTTCAGAAATGTGTGTACCTTGGCCAGGTAGAGGTGTGTGTGTGTGTGTGTGTGTGTGTGTGTGTGTGTGTGTGTGTGTGTGTGCCTTAAGAATCATGTAGGAATAAAAACAGCAAAAGTAGAAATCCACCCTTGAGAATGAGCACAGGACATCACAATAGTCTGAATCAAAGCAGTCAGGTTCAGCTGTAACAGGGGTTGGGAGGGCTGGAACGGCTCTGAAAACCAAGCCCCAAGGCAGGTGTGAACACTTTGTTTTTGTTACTTTTTGAGCAAATACTACGCTCTGCCTGGGATTTGGTCAGTCTTCCTTATCAGATCATGTTATTTTCAAACACTCGTGGCAAGATAATTGTAAAGAGTAGATGCCTTTGCATGAATGTGTATGTGTGTGTGTGGACAGAAAGAGAGAATATACAGAAAGGCTGATTTTTTTTTCACCTTTCTCCAATATTGAAGAGAACTTTGTTGCTGATTGTATTACTTTTTATGGCCACTGCAGTAAGTTACCACAAACATAGTGCCATAAACAAAACAAATTTATCTTATAATTCAATAAATCAGAAGTCCAATAACGGCCTCACTGGGCTGAAATTGCGGTGGCATTAAGGCTGTGTTTTTTTTGTGGAGATTCTAGGGAAGAATTCCCTTACCTTTTGTAGTTTCTAGAGGCCATCTAGAGCAGGTCCTCGAATACCGT